AGTAGCACCTGTTGGTTTTTCAACTGCAGCAGTAGATTTAATAGTCTTTGCATCTAGAGACTTAGCAGGAGCTGCTTGTTGCACTATAGTCTGCCCTGATCCATCAAACATTGATGCAACTTGATCAAGCTCCTTACCATCCTGCACAACAACAATAGCAATTGGATCTACTGCTGCATTATTTTTGGCAAAAATAGCTCGAACACCTACAGCTAATGCACTATCCTCCCTCATCTGCTGAAGTTGCCCAGCTTCAATAGTTGAACCTTTAGAACCCCCAGCTAAACCTCGATCAACCATAGTATTTTTTGCAGCCTTCAAGTCCTGAGCAACTCTAGCAAGGGCTTCAGCAACTGGAACAATTGCACCAGAAACAGAATTTTGCCCTGCATCACCAGAACCAACCTTATCAGTTGCCTTAACAGCAGCTGATTGTGGACCATCAATTGCTGCATTAGATTTTTGCTGCGCCTTAGCATTTACATAATCCCTATCATCCCCTTGTAATTTTTCCACCTTGCTCATCTCCTCAGCCAAAGCCAAAACTTCAGCATGCAGTACACGATCATTATCAACAGTGCTGTCGATCAAATTTTCCTCTTGTTGCATATCATCATTCGCCCTATTCCTTTTAATCAATGAACGACAATCTTCACCAGCATGTCCTTGTCTTTTGCACACATTACAATATGATGGAAGATTATCAAACACAAATTCCTGTATATGCTCAATAACCTTACCAGATTTCTCGTCGATAAATTGTAACTTTATATTCTTGGGATACTTGTCAAGCAGATCAAGAATTACCTTTACCCTAGCTGTGCTAGGTCTTGTCCTAGTTTGTGTTGCTTTATCTATAGCAATAGGTTTTCCCACAGCTGATGCAATTGATAATAAAGGCTTCTTCGCAAATAAGTTCGTTGGCAAATCTGGAAACGACACCCATGCCACTGCTTTTGACGTCTCCGCCTTAGGATTGTAATCTTGAGTCCATGGGAATGTACGATATTGATGTTGTTGTCCTTTGTACTATAGATAACCAACCTGCTTTGAGACAACTACTACAAAATCCTCATGTGCATCACAACGAATCAATAGCTGCTGAAACGCGAGCAAGCCTATCAAGCAGCGACCTTTAATCCCAACTTGTGCTGGAATCATATTTCGAAGTTCTGGCAACTCTGGCGCACCATATGACAGCTTCATCACCACAGCTTGGTGAAGGCCTTCTTCAACTGCATATTCCTCCAATTCCTTAAACGAAAATTGCATCATTAGTCGTCCATGAACATGTTGGACAGGTTTAAGGATTGTTTTGGTTACTGGTTGTGATTTTGACGACAGTAATGAAGCATATGTATTTGTTTTAGGGCTGGAATCCATCTCTCCCACAGCTTGAAGCTGGGGAGAGGGCTGCACGTCCATGGCAGCTCTTAGTTCTGCATGTCGCCCAAGAGAGAGAGAGGAGAGTGGAGAGAGCGGGTTTTTCATGGGAGGCATTGAGTATTGTTACTTAGGTCTTTTTTTATCGGCCGGACAAATGTTATGCGATTCTGGTCTGTCCGCCTGGACCCATGTAAATGGCGTGGGCTATAGCACAAGAAAATATGGGAATCGGGCGGAATTCAAGTTTTATGCCCTAAAATGCAAAAAAAAAAAAACGATGAACAATCATGGTGAGGCAATGACTATTTTTCCTCAGGTTGTTTGTGATGATTCGAAAATAATTTAGGTCTTTCTGGTCTGCCCGTCTGGACCCATGCCGATGGCGTGGTCTATGGCACACGAAAATCTGTGAATAAGGTGGAATTCAAATTTTATGTCCCTAAAGTAACTATAAAAGGAGGAACGGTCTTGGCGAGAAAATGATTATTGTACCTTATGTGGTTTTTGATGGCCTGGAAATTTTTTAAACAATTCGGGTTCGGTCGCCCGTGCCCATGCTGATGGCGTGGACTATAGCACACGAATATAATTGTAGTTTTACCACCCTATAATGCCACAAAATAGGAACCGTCATTGAGAGGCATTGACTATTATCCTTAGGTGATTTTTGATGGGCCGGCAAAATTTTAGGCTATTCACGTCCGTTCACCTGGACCCATGCAGATGGAGTGGGCTATAGCACACGAAATTTTGGAATCGGGTGAAATTCAAATTTTATGGCCTTAAAATGCAAAAAAAAAAAAGAAAAACGGTCATTGCAAGGCGATGACTATCTAAACCCTAAACCCAAGTATCAAACGGGCGAGCCTAGAGAGAGAAACTCTGGCGATTCTGGGCGATTAGAGAGAGAAACCTCACTGCTCGCTTCCATGGCCACGCCGGCCACTGCCCAGCCTTCGCCGGAGGTTGGGCAGTCGTCTACCACTCCTATACAATCCCTACAACCAGCTACTAATCCAAAAACAACCCACACGTACGCAAATTTACTACAACCTCAAGCATTAAATGCTCCCATGCACGTAACGAATGTAAACCTAAAACCAGTTGAGGTTTTACATGGTGAACCAATGGTGAGATGGAAGAAATCAGAAGTTAAACAATCCATACTACAACAAGGATTGCATCTAGCAGTCCTGGGCAAGTTTTCTTATGGAAAACCTTCGATCCAAGAATTGAGGAAGGCAATTCCAATTCAATGTGAGCTTAACGGATCGTGTTCAGTAGGTTTAATTGAGGATTTCTCGTGTATTGATCAAGTTATCATTGATGGAGGATTATATTCACTTGTTATCGAAGCCAGCATTGTATTTGAAAGCTCAAGGTGAATTTTGGCAGATGAGATGCACAAAGTGGAGTCCATGGTGGTCTCCTGATGTTGAGACACCAATTGCAATTGCTTGGATCTCGTTTCAGGATCTTCCTCCAAATTTTTTTGGTAAGGAGTTTGTATTTTCATTGGCTAATGAAGTTGGTAGACCATTACATGTTGATCTTGCTACTCAAAATGGCACACGACCTTGTTGTGCTAAGGTTAAGGTAGAGGTGAATCTTCTTGCAACAATGCCTCAAAGAATTAAAATAATTGAGGAAGCTGATGAAAGTGGTCCTGAGGAGTCTAAATGGATCAAGATAAGGTGTGATTACATGCCTAAATATTGTAAGACATGTAAGAAACAAGGGCACAAGGAAGAGGAATGTTGGGTAGTTCATCCGGAACTACATAGAAATATTGGTGGTGATGGCAAGGATCAAGGTAAGGAAAGGGAGGTGCTGGTAAGTACTAATGTAATTGGAACAGCTGCTAATTCAACTAAGGTATTATGAAGTAGAAAGGTAGTTGGAAAACCTACTACTAATCAAGCAAAGCAAGAGTGGATGCAAGCAAGGAAGAATAAGTATCAAAGAGATAAGAGGGGGCACATTATTGAGGACAAGACTGGAAAAGATGTGGACAAAGGGAAAGGAAAGACCAAGGTTGAAGAAGTCACAACTAGAAACAAATTTAATGCATTAGAAGTGGAGGAAGTGCAAAATCCTCCTCTACAAATCACAGAAGGCAAAGGTGAAGATTACAGCAATGGAAAGAAGAAGGAACAAGTTGAAAGGAAATCCAAGGGGGTAGAGGAGAAGGCAAGGGAATTTAAAGAAGATAAACTGAATACTAATCCTACTGTTAATGGGATTGGGACAGCTGAACTTGAATTAAAGCGTGTGAAGAAGGAGGCAGTTGAAAGAGTTCTCGAAATGTCTACAAATCCTACTCCTAGTAGGATTCATTCTTCAGGAGATCGAGAAGCTACTACAATTGATTCTACTGATCCTAAGGGTCAAAACTTGGAGGAGGGGATCAATAGAGAGTCGACTATTGAATGGGTGCATAGGAGATTTGGAACCAGCAAAGAGGAGCTTAGACAGCTTAATGTCCCCACTAACCATTCTTGCCAAGAAGTACCATCCCAATTATATGGTGATTCTGGGCAAAACGAGGAGGGTAATGAGGTTAATTCTACTAAGGTGTCATGGGGAGAAGAGGTTGAGTCTATGGAGGATCAAAATGATGCAAGAAAGACAAAGGAAAATAAAGAAGAGAAGAGCAGCAATAATGATCAAAAAATTGCCAAACAGGTAGATGCTACAGTAAACCCTAGCAATCTACAAACTAGGGTTGACTGTAATTTGAGTTCTATGGACTCAAAATTGGGGAAAATGATTGGAGGTGATGCAGGAGCTATTAAGGAAGCTGGGAATCAAGGTGGATCAGCTCAAAGATTAATAACCAAAGAGAACACCAATGAAACAGTAAACCCTAGTAAAACTGGGGAGATTTTGGCATTTGTGGATGGGGTTCCAGTGTATGCTTTGGAGAAGGAACTTGATCACAATGTTCCTGCTGAGGATAGGAAGGGCATAATGTGCCAGGAGCAACAAAAATTACATGGGAAGGTGCCTGATCGCAATGGAACAGTAACTGCAGACTGTTTTGCTACAGTAACTCCTGACTTAGGATCTGTGTATGCACTTCAATTTAAATTGATGCAGGACAATTTGGGGAATATGGAGAGGAATAAGGAGAAACAGGAAGCAGCTCTAACACCTTATAATTCAGCTGAACAAGATATTACTACAAGGGAGATAGGGGAGTTAGAAGCTGTGCCAATGGCATGTGCATCAGGGACTGGATCACCCATGCAAATCCAAATTAATGTGCCATTGAGGACTCCAAATCAGATTCTGCATGATATTATCACTCACAAGGAGCTACCAGATGACATTCAGAACAATTTGATTGATTAACAAGGCCAACATGAAGGAGAAGATGGTGATGAATAAACTGCTGAAAATTTTAAAGCAGTAGCAAGAGATGGGGATTTGTCTCCAAAATCAGCAACTAAAAGTGGAAGGAAAGGGAAGAAAAATCAATCTAAAGAACAATTGCAACCTACAAGGATTTTGCCTAGAAGGGAAGCTTCTGGAGTTTCAAGATGATGATCAAATCTTTAATATGGAATATAAGGTCTGTAAAAACTCAGCAGGCCTTTCAAAGGGTTATTAATATGCAGAAGGAGCATGGATTTTTTATTGTTGCACTTATGGAACCAAAGCAAAAACAGAAGTTTTTTCAGAAGTATAGAAGAAGGTTAGGTATGGAAGCTGTAATATCAAATGTGAATGAAAAGATTTGGTTGTTCTTTGATGCTGTGGTTGAATGGGATCTGTTGATAGATACTGAGCAACAAATGACCATCAGAGTGTACCATCAAGAGCTTGGTAAGTATATTATGATGACATTTGTTTATGCTAAATGTTGTGCACTAGAGAGACTAGAGTTATGGACAATTTGTATTGCTTGGCTAGTGACATGGAATTGCCTTGGCTAGTTGGAGGTGATTTCAATGTAGTGATGGGAGAGGAAGAGAAAATAGGTGGACTACCAGTTTATCCTCCTGAATATGAAGATTTTGCCTTTTGTGCCAATTCCTGTGGCTTGTTTGATCTTGGATACAAGGGAAGTCCTTTCACATGGTGGAATGGTAGGCCAAATGAAGAGTGTATATTTAAAAGACTTGATAGAATCCTGGTGAACATGCCATTTTAGAATTTATTTCCTACTATTGAAGTGGAACATCTTATTAGGACAGGATCAGATCATGCTCCCTTATTGATGAGCTGTGGAGAAGAAGCAATGAAGTTTGTGAAGCCATTCAAGTTCTTGAACTTTTGGACAAAACATGAGGCCTTCCTAGAGGTGGTGAAGCAGAACTGGATTGCAGATTTTATTGGAGATCCATTCTTGATGTTTAAGCAGAAGTTGAAGAGGGTTAAGATTGCTTTATCAAAATGGAGCAAAGTAACCCATGGGGATATTTACAAGCAACTGGCCATCAGAGAAGATGTGGCGAGGATTAAGGAGATGCTGTTTGAGGAAGATCCCTCTTCTGAAAATAGAATTGTACTTCAACAAGCACAGGCAGAACTGAAGAAGTATTTGAACATTGAAGAACAATACTGGAAACAAAAGGCAGGCATGACTTGGTTTGAAGAAGGAGATAGAAACACAAGGTTCTTTCACAATTGTGTAAATGGAAAGAGACAAAAATTAAAGCTGAAAGGATCTTTAACAGTGATGGTGCATGGATAGAAGATCAAAACAAGTTATCAGAGGCTGCCATAGAGTTCTTCCAGAAACAATTCACTAATGAAGGGGATTCCACAAGCTTTGAGTTGCTGAACAATGTTCCTACAATGGTGACAAGAGAACAAAACATGGAATTATGTAGATTGCCAACTGAGAAGGAGGTCAAGGATGCTGTGTTTGCATTGAGTAGTGAAAGTGCAAGTGCACCAGATGGTTTTTCAGGTTTGTTCTTTCAAGTATGCTGGGATATTGTGGGGCTGGATATTCACTCATTGTTAGTGTTATTCTTTGAGGGTAGTCCATTGCCTAAATCAATAACACATACAAATCTGGTATTACTGCCTAAGAAACCTCAAGTTCAAACATTTTCTGACCTTAGACCTATTAGCTTGAGTAATTTTGTCAACAAAATCTTCTCAAGAGTAGTTCATGATAGACTTGAAAAGATATTGCCCTCATTGATCTCATTGAACCAGTTTGGTTTTGTCAAGGGAAGGAGCATCTTTGAGAATATTTTGTTGACACAGGAGATTGTTACTGACATAAGATTGAGAGGAAAGCCAGCCAATGTTGTGATCAAGTTAGATATGGCCAAGGCATATGATAGGGTGTCTTGGAAATATTTGATGCATGTACTGAGGAAGATGGGGTTTGGAGAATGCTTTATAAACATGGTGTGGAATCTGATTTCTAACAATTGGTATTCAGTGATGGTGAATGGTCAGGCCTCAGGATTTTTTCATTCAACAAGGGGTGTGAAGCAGGGAGATCCTCTTTCCCCAGCTTTGTTTATTCTGTCAGCAGAAGTGTTGTCAAGATCCTTGAACAAATTGTACGATGATAGGCAGTTTAGAGGATTTGGGATGCCAAAGTGGTCTGATCCTTTGAATCATCTTGCTTATGTAGATGATACTATTATTTTTGCATCAGCTGATCCATACTCCCTTCAGAAGATAGTTGATGTCTTGGCACTGTATGAGAGAACCTCTGGTCAGCTGATTAATAAGGCAAAGAGTTCCTATTATGTGCACTCAAAGATTGCTGCAGATTTGAAGAATGCAGTAGCTACTTTCACTGGATTTTCTAAAGGTACCTTCCCATTTACATACCTTGGATGTCCAATATTTTATACAAGGAGAAGGAAGAACTACTATAATGATTTGATTCAGAAGGTGAAAGCAAAGCTGCACTCATGGAAAGGGAAGCTTCTATCATATGGAGGTAAGGCTACATTGATCTCAAGTGTACTGCAAAGTATACCAACACACATATTATCAGTACTTGATCCACCAGATAATGTGATTGAACATCTCCATAAAATATTCACAAGATTTTTCTGGAGTAATAAGGAAGAAGGGAGAAGTAGGCATTGGACAAAGTGGCAGAACCTATGTCTCCCTAAGGAGGAAGGGGGAATAGGTTTCAGATCTTTGTTTGATGTCTCTAAGGCTGTATTTGCAAAACTTTGGTGGAGATTCAGGACCTCCAAATCATTATGGTCCAACTTCATGTGGAATAAGTATTGCAAGAAGGAATTGCCAACTGTGGTTCAGTTTAGGGAGGGGTCACATGTGTGGAGGAAAATGCTAGAAGCTAGAGATGAGGTGGAGCATGAAATTCTATGGGAAATGAATAGGGGCTCTACTAATATATGGCATGAAAATTGGACTGGATTGGGAGCATTGTATCATGTATTACCTCCAGATTTTCATATTAATGAGGAGCTACAGGAGGTGTCTGAGTTGAGAGGTGAAGGTCAATGGAATGATGCAATGCTGGATCAAACTTTCCCATTGGAGATTGCAGATCACATTAGAGAAGAGGTGCATTTTGCAGCAACTGATGAATATTGGGTCACTCCTAGGTGGATGCCTACACCCTCAGGGAAGTTTACAGTGAGTAGTGGATGGAAGATTTTGAGACATAGAGAGCCAAGTAATTCAGACTATGCAAAGCTATGGACAAAAGGACTTCCTTTCAAAATCTCATTCTTCTTTTGGAGAGTTTGGAAAGGAAAGTTTCCTACAGATGATATATGGAGAGGAGGGGGATACATGGTGGTGTCTAAGTGCTGGTGTTGCTTGCCACCTAAGGAAAACTCATTTCAGCACTTGTTTCTCACAAGTGATACTGCAAAAAAGGTGTGGAGTACTTTCAGTCAGGCTGCAGGTTTGGTGGTCAACATGGTGCAAGTTCATCAAGTCATAAAGGAATGGTGGAATGCAAAATATTGTCCTAAGTTAAAGCCTCTATTTCAGGCCGCTCCAGCAGTAATTCTGTGGGAGATATGGAAGAGAAGGAATACAATCAAGCATGGAGGATCAGTGTCTTGCAGTAGAGTTATTCATGAGGTAAACAAGACATTGTACTATCTGGCAAAAGTAAGGTATCCTTGGCTTCCTGGGATTCCATTGTTGTGGCCTGAGATGATCAGATTCTTTGAGCAATATAAACCTGTTATAGTGACAAGAAGGGTTACATGGCAGCTTTCATATGAAGGCTGGTTCAAATGCAATACAGATGGTGCATCAAGGGGGAATCCAGGTCCTAGCTCGTATGGCTTTTGTGTGAGGGATCACAGAGGAGATTTGATAGATGCCAGGGCAAGGGAGATAGGTGACACAACAAATATTGTAGCTGAAGCAATCATGGAGACTGACTCTTTGGTAATGAGGAAGATTATTGAAGATGAATGGGAGACACCATGAAGTATAGGGGCAGAAGTGAGAAGGATTAAGGAGATCATAAAATCATACAATGTGATATTCCAACATGTGCTAAGGGAGGGCAACAAAGTGGCAGATTTTTTAGCTAACCTTGTTTTCTCTTTTGCAGGTACTGTTAACTTTCAATCATTTCAAGAATTACCATCTGAAGGAAGAACGTTGATCAACATGGATAAATCACAAATTCCTAACTTAAGAGTTATGATTGCTAAGAGGAAAGCTCCAGATTGATGGATAAGTTATCAAATGCAATGCCAATACTGTGTTCTTCATTATACTGGAGATTTTTAAATGACTACTCAGTGGTATCAGCATGTTTACATGCTCAATCTGAGGGTGATTTGATAATCTGCAGAAAGAGAAATTACACAGTAAAGGCAGGAACATCTTTAGGTCTCAAATGTGCAAGGTTTATAATCAAGAACATCTTCAGGAATATCGTCAGGAACATTTTCTTTTTACTCACACTGTTTGCAGTCTTAGGCAAGGCTATTATTATGTCACAAAGAGTGCAGGTTGCTATACTCACATTATGCAGGTGTTTGATCTTAGTTACACTGACACAGCAAGTCTGGATATCAATGGTGTCAGTTATACATAAATTGGAAGCTGCAGCTGCTATATGGAACTCACCCTCAACATATCTCATCTCTTTATGTCATCTGTATTGGTTTGGGATATATTGGATGCTGTTATGTCATTGTTCAGTGGTATCAGTGTGTTCACACACTCATTTTGGAGATGACATTGCAGTAGACAATGTATTTGTGCTATGTATGTTGCAGGTGACAATGGCAAGGCTAGTAGATGGCATCACTTTGTATCCTTGGAAGTCATTGTTTGCTTCAGTACTGTGGCATTTTTGTTTGGACTTTGTCATTGCCTATACCCTCCGTACCTTGGCACTTGGTGAGAGCTTGATTGGTGCTACATGGTATTTGAAATAGGCATTTGAGGTCATACACAGCCAGAGAACATGGGAGCATGCACTTGGATATTTTGTAATAGTTAGCTTTATCTTTTTAATTAGACTTCCTACCTTTTTATATCTTAAGACTCTTGTTAGTTTTTTTTGGATTGGACAACTTGTAAACTTTGGACCCTTTTGGGATGTTTTATTTATATATTAGCCACTAGGTAGCATGCCTAGTGGTATATTTGCTTAAAAAAAAAGGCGATGACTATTGTTCCTTAGGTGGTGTTTGATGGGTCGGCAAAATTTCAAGCGATTCAGGTCGGGTCACCCGGAGCTATGCCGATGGCGTGGCCTATAACAAACGAAAATCTGAAATTGGGTGAAATTCCAGTTTTATGGCCCTAAAATGCCAAAAAATGATGAACGGTCATGGCGTGGCGTGACTAATATTCCTAAGGTGGATTTTGATGGGCCGGTAATATTTTAGGCAATTCGGGTCCGGTCACCAGGACCCATGCCGATGGCGTGGGCTATAGCTTATGAAAATATGAGAATCGGAAGAAATTCCTGTTTAATGGCGCTAAAACTCCAAAAAATAAGGAACATTCATGGCGAAGCGGTGACTATTAATCCTTAGGTGGTTTTTGATTGGTCAGCGAAGTATTAGCCGATACGGGTCCGGTTGTCCGGATCCATGCCGAAGGCATGGACTATCGCACATGAAAATCGGGGAATCGGGCGGAATTACAGTTAATGCCCTAAAATGCCAAAAAATGAGGAACGATCTTGGTGAGATGATTACTTTTGTTCCATATGTGGTATTTAATAAGCCGGCAAAATTTCAGGCGATTCGGGTCTGGTCGCCTAAACCCTTACCTGATGGTGTGGGCTATATAGCACACGAAAATCTGGGAATTAGATGAAATTCCCGTTTCATGGCCCTAAAATAAAAAAAAATAGAAACGGTCATGACGAGGCGATGAATATTGTTTCTTTGGTGGTTTTTGATGGGCTGACAAAATTTTAGATGATTCAGGTCCTATCGCCCGGACCCATGTTGATGGCGCGGGCAATAGCACACGAAAATCTAAAAATCGAGCTAAATTCCAGATTTATGGCCCTAAAACGTAAAAAAATGATAAACTTCATGGTGAGGCGATGACTATTGTTACTCAGGTCGTTTTTGATGAGTCAATAATTTTTTAGGTATTCCGGGTCCACCCGTCTGGACCTATGCCGATGGCGTGGTCTATGTCACACAAAAATCTTGGAATCGGGTGGAATACCAGTTTTATGTTCCAAAAACACCAAAAACGAGGAACGATCTTGGAGAGACGATGACAATTGTTCCTTATGCGGTTATTGAAGACCCGAAAAATTTTAGGCAATTCGATTCCGGCCGCCCGTACCCATGCCGATGGCGTGGACTATAGCACATGAATATCTTAGAATGGAGTGAATTTTAAGTTTTATCACTCTAAAATGCAAAAAAATGATGAACGGTCATTGCGAGGTGATGACTATTGTTCCTTAGGTGGTTTTGGATGGGACGGCAAAATTTTTGTTGATTCGGGTCCGGTCATCCAGACCCACACCGATGGCGTGGCTTGTAACATAGGAAAATCTGAAATCGGGCAAAATTCCAATTTTATGGTCCTAAAAAGCCAAAAACGAGGAACGATCATGGCGTGGCGTTGAGTAATGTTCCTAAGGTGGTTTTTGATAGGACGGTAATATTTTAGGCGATTCGGGTCCGGGTGACCGGACCCATGCCTATGGCATGGGCTATAGCACACGAACATCTATGAATCGGGTGGAATTCCTGTTTTATGTCCCTAAAATGCCAAAAAATGAGAAACAGTCATGGAGAGACAGTGACTATTGTTCCTTGGGTAGTTTTTGATAGGTCGGCAATATTTTAGCCGATTCGGGTCTGGTTGTCTAGATCCATGCCGATGGCATGGGCTATCGCACACAAAAATCTAGAAATCGGGCGGAATTCCAGTTTTATGACCCTAATATGCCAAAAACCGAGGAACGATCGTGGTGAAATGATGACTATTGTTCCATATGTGGTTTTTAATAGGACGGCAAAATATTAGGTGATTCGGGTTCGGTCGCCCTGAACCATATCGATGGCGTGGGCTATAGCAAACGAAAATCTAGGAATAAGACGGTATTCCAGTTTCATGGCCCTAAACTACAAAAATCGAGAAATGATCATGACGAGGTGATGGCTATCATTTCTTTGTTTGTTTTGGATGGGCCTGTAAAATTTGAGATGATTCGGGTCCTGTTGCCCAGACCCATGCTGATGGCGTGATCAAAGCACACGAAAATCTAGGAAACAAGCGAAATTATAGATTTATGGCCCTAAAACGCCAAAAACCGATAAACGATAATGGTGAGGCAATGTCTATTGTTCCTCCGATCGTTTTTTATGACTCGAAATATTTAGGCGTTCCGGGTCCGCTCGTCCAGACCCATGCTGATGGCATGGTCTTGGCGCATGAAAATCTGGGAATCGAGTGAAATTCTTGTTCTATATCCCTAAAATGCCAAAAATGAGGAACTGTCTTGGCGAGACAATGACTATTGTTCCTCATGTGATTTTTGATGGCCTAGAAAACTTTTAGGCAATTCGGGTCCGGCCTCCCGTACCCATGCTGATGGCGTTGGCTATAACATGCGAATATCTTAGAATTGTGCGAAATTTCAGTTTTATCGCCCTAAAACACAAAAAATGAGGAACAGTCATGGCGAGGCATTAACTATTGTTCCTTAGTTCATTTTTTATGGGCCGACAAAATTTTAGGTGATTCAGGTCTATTCGCCTGGACCCATGTAGATGGCATGGGCTGTAGTATACGAAAATTTGGGAATCCAGCGGAATTCCAGTTTTATGACCCTAAAATGCGAAAAAAGAAAGAAAAAGAAACGGTCATTGCGAGGCGATGACCACTGTTCCTAAGATGGTTTTTGATGGGCCGACAAAATTTCAGACGATTAGGGTCCGTCGCCTGACCCATACCGATGGCATGGCCTATAACATACGAAAATCTTAAATCAAGCGAAATTCTACTTTTATGGCCCTAAAATGCCAAAAATATGAGGAACATTCATGGCGTGGCGTTGATAATGTTCCTAAAGTGATTTCTGATGGGCCGGTAATATTTTAGGCGATTGGGTCCGGTTACCCGGACTCATGCCGATGGCGTGGGCTATAGCAGACGAAAATCTGGGAATAGAGCAAATTAATGTTGTATGGCTCTAAAACGCCAAAAAAATGAGGAACAATCATGTTGTGACGATTAATATTGTTGCTTAGAAATTTTTTGACGGGTCGGCAAAATATTAGGCATGAGAAACGCTCATGGCGAGATGATGACTATTGTTCCTCAGGTAGTTTTTCATGGGCAAAAAATTTTTTCGGCGACTCGGGTCCGGTTGCCCGGAACCCATGCCGGCAGCGTAGACTATAGCACACGAAAAAATTTTGTGGACTCGTGTCCGGTTGCGAGATGATGACTATTGTTCCTTGGGTGGTTTTTGACAAGCTGAAAAAATTTTGTGGACTCGTGTCCAGATGCAAAGACACATGCCAATGGCTTGGGCTATAGCATGAAAATTTGGGAACTGGGAAAAATTCTAAATTTATGGTCCTAAAACGCCAAAAAAGGAGGAACGGTCAGTGAGAGGCGTTGACTATTATTCCTTGGGTCGTTTTTGAAAGGCCGACAAAATTTTAGGCTATTCAGGTTCGATCGCCGGAACGCATGCCGATGGCAAAGGCTATAGCATAAAAAAATCTAAAAATCAGGTCGAATTCTAATTTTATCGCTCTAAAATGCCAAAAAATGAGGAACGATAATGGCAAGGCGATGACTATTATTCCTTAGATGGTTTTTCTTGGTCGGCAAAATATTAGGTTATTTGGGTCCGGTCGCCGGACCCATGCTGATGGCGTGGGCAATAGAACACGAAAAATCTTGAAATCGAGCAAAATTATAGATTTATGGCCCTAAAACGCCAAAAGAGATGAACTATCATGGTGAGGCGATGATATTGTTCCTCAAATTGTTTTTGATGAGTCGACATTTTTTTAGGCGTTCGAGGTCCGCTCATCCGGACCCATGCCTATGGCGTGGTCTTGGCACACGAAAATATGAAAATCGGGTGGAATTCCTATTTTATATACTTAAAACACCAAAAAATGAGGAACGGTCTTGGCGAGACGATGCCTATTG